ACTGGACAGTCAGTCACATTGCATACACACAGTTCAATCACGATGGGCCATTCATATACTAGATGCGCAGGTAGGTCACATAAGAGAGGGAGGAGGGTGAGGGAGGAGAGATCGCAGATATATATCCAAATCCACAAAAAAAACCAAAAAACAAAAAACCAAAAATCCAAAAATCAAAAAGTCAAAAAAACAAAAAAACACAGACAAAATCAAAAAATCCATCAAAATCAAAACCAACCAAATCAGAACAATCAAAAAATCAAAAAATCACAGTCAAATTCAACTGATAAATCAATTCCACCTCATGGCTTATGTGGGCCTTCATGGCTGCCTACGGACAGTGGCTGTTGGCCTCTAGTAATATATTATATATTTATTATACATATCATATATAACTATTATATATAGTGTAAATGTGTTCAGGCCGAATGTGTCTGCATTCTTGTCGAATAACTGAAGAACTCCGCACGCCATAGAGCGAAAAGATCATTTTCAGAATAGCACGTCTGGAGTGGTCTAGGCTGAAACAACAAATTTAAAAAAGTTTAAACATTCATACCAAATTCTAATTGATCAATAGATTGGCGTTCTCACTGTACTTAACACAAATTACAGTCTGAATTCCATGGTTGTATAAACGTAATAGCGAGTTTCCTGCATCAGTACATGACATCGCGTCTGCTTACACTGGATTACCGGGTTTCGATAGTACCGCGGGGAACTTATTTTCGCCCTGTTTTTTCTTTTTTCCTTTTACCTACCTCTTTAGATAGGATATATTTTATAATTTTAAATTTATGTATTTATCAAATTTATATTTTTTAGTTTATATTATATTTTTTATTTTAATGTTTTTTAATCTTTGATTCTTATTATTTTTTATCGCGTTGAGGAGATGGCGATGGCGATACCGCGTGTATGGAGATGTGCATGCGATACGATGGGATGGGATTGGACCGGATGATGGATTGGAGCGATGCGATGAATTGGGATTGGAATGGCATGAATGGGTATTGGTGGATTCAGATTGGATGCATGCATGATCAGATATTAGGAATTTTCTTTTTTCCTATTTCCTATTACCTACCTCTTTAGTATCGTATTAATTTTAATTTTTAATTTATTAATTTATTCTAATTTACTAGTTTTTTTAGTTTTTTAATATTTTTATTTTTAATGTCTTTATCTTTTTGATTTCTTTCTATATATTTTTATGTTTGGATGGAATGGGGATGGGATGAGATGATGATGGCATGAGATGGCATTTGCGATGGCATTCGGGATGGAATGGCTGGGATCGATAGATGGGTGGGATAGATAAGGGATGGGATCATTGATAGGATGTGGGATGCGATGGCATGGAATGGGGCATGATGATGGATGGGATGGGATGGATGGAGGCATTGATGTGCAATAATGCATGCATGTTATGAGAATGCATGCGATAGCATAGATTTTTGGGGTATTTTCCTTTACAACAAGAGGTCACCAAGCTGAGTAACGCCACTGATTTTCCCTGGGCAACGCCGGGTTCCGGCTCAGTATTATGGCAATACTGTATATTATATTATCTATATATATATTATATATAATAAATATTATATACTTCCGGTTGCTGACCGGGGTTTTCCGGTTGCTGGTCGTCTGGTGGCTGTCAACTGACAGCCATGATTACCAATAGCTCACGTCGACACATGACTTAAGCAGAAATTTAATTCTGAGTGTTGGTTGTTTTTAAATCGCAGGCGGCATACTCAAGTAACTTTTACATTACGTAGTTGATTTTTTTGAGCTCCATTGCTTCGTTGTTGTTGTGTGTTGTTGTGTGTGTTGTGGTGTGTGTGTGTGTTGTGTTGTTGTGTTTGTGTCAGATAGATAGATCGATTATATGAGGTGTCAGGAAATAGATAGATCGGATGGATACTATAAGTGTCGAGAGATAGATGATAGATGGATAGATAGATAGATTAGATATTATGATAGATAGAGCAGAGTAGATACAGAAGGATGAGGATAATAGGATGAGTGGCATGAGTGTCATGATAGAGTAGCGACTGGAATGATAGATGTGTTCCAGATAGATTAGTTCGATGGATAGTGTCAGATAGATAGATAAATAGGATGATGGAGTTCAGATAGATAAACCGATGAATAGAGTCAGATAGATAGATAGATAGATAGATAGATAAGGTCCAGCAAAGGTGTCATATAGATAGATTGATGGATATATATATAGAGAGAGTGTCAGATACACAAAACGATAGGTAGCATAGTAGTAGAGTAGTGTATTGTCATTACAAACGATAAAATATAGCAAGAGGAAGAGAGAGAACGAGAGAGAGAGAAAGAGAGAGCGAGCGAAATAGAGAAGAGAGAGAAAGAGAGAGAGAGAGAGAGAAAGAGGAGAGAGAGAGAGAGAGAGAGAGAGAAAGCGAGAGAGTGAGAGAGAGATACACACACACACACGCACGCACGCACGCACACACCACACGCACGCACGCACGCACGCGCGCGCACACACACACACACACACACACACACACCGTGTGGGACGCGTTCGTGAATGCGTTTCGTCACGTTCTCCCGCGAGTCGGTAATGCCGTATTTCCAGATGTTTGGAAGTGGTTGTCATCGTCTGAAGCTGGCATTGTTGTTCTTTGGTGAAGTCGTCGTTAACGGTTAGCGTTGTTATTGACGCTATCATTGATTGTGTTTATTAAACGGGGGAGAAAAACGCTGAAAAGCACAGTTTCGGCTGTAAACCGTTAGAAGAACCTGACGAAGACTACCACAAGTCGAAACTAGTCGTTCATTGCTAACTTTGTGCAGCAATTTCTTAAACAAAACATTTTTTATATACATATATAATGGCAACACCAAAACAGCAAGCGAAATCCACGTGGGGTAAATCAGTTGAGCGGTGCCCCGTAGAGGCTGTCCAGGCCTCTTATTCACACATGTCCATTCATTGTGTACATTGATAGAGAAATGGACATTATTGATTGACTGTTGTATAATTGATGTTCTCTATTGACGTTGCTACTGACGATGTCATTGATTGTGTTGTTGAAGTTGTTATTGACGCCATCATTGATTGTGTAGTTACTGACGTTATTATTTATTGTATTGTTGGCGTTGTTACTGACGCTATTATTATAGCCCCACCGCGCACCCGGAGTTGAAAGACAATTGCCCGTTAATGTGTTATTGCTAGAATGAGTAGCTGGTGACAACCGGGTAGATCGAAGAAGCGTCCGACCTGCCTTTGAAATAGTATATATATGGGACGTAATACAGATAGAAATACAGACGGATATCGAGTAACTGAGGGACGGAGAGGAGAGACCGATAGAGGGCAGATCATGAGAGACAGCCAAGCGGGTTACAATATGGAAGTAACTTAGGATGTAGTATGTATGTGTATAATTTGTATGTGCCAAATTACTAATAAAGACCTTGTTCAACATTGAATCTGCGACGCTGTACCGGCTCGATCTGATATGGAGACTAACTAACAAGTCTCTACAATGCTGCAATCCACAAGAGCCTGAGATATCAACTGTAAAATCCCAGTACAACACTATTATTGATTGTGTAATGGACATTATTGATTGACCGTGTAATTGATGTTTTGACCTTGACATCGTCGTTTGACTTGACGTTAGCATTGACGCTGTCGTTGAAGTTGGCATTTACGTTTTTATTGATGCTGTCATTGACGTTGTTATTGGCGTTGTTATTGACGTTGTTATTGACGTTATTATTGACCGTGTTATTGATGGTGTCATCGACGTTGTTATTGACGATGTTATTGACGGTGTTATTGACGCTGTTATTAACGTTGTTATTGACGTTGTTATTGACGCTGTCATTGCCGACGTCATTGACCTTGTTATTGATGCAGTCATTGACGCTGTCATTGCCGATGTCATTGACTTTGTCATTGACGCTGACATTGCCGATGTCATTGACGTTGTCATTGACGCTGTTATTGACGTTGTTTTTGACGGTGTTATTGATGGGTTCATTGACATTGTTATTGACGGTGTAATTGACGTTGTTATTGACGTTGTTATTGACGGTGTCATTGACGCTGTTATTGATGTTGTTATTGACAGTGTTATTGACGGTGTTATTGACGTTGTTATTGACGGTGTTAATGACGGTGTTATTGACGCTGTCATTGACGTTGTTATTGAGGTTGTTATTGACGTTGTTATTGACGGTGTTATTGATGCTGTCATTGACGGTGTAATTGACGTTGTTTTTGATGGTGTTATTGACGGTGTTATTGACGCTGTCATTGACGTTGTTATTGATGTTGTTATTGACTTTGTTATTGACGGTGGTATTGACGCTGTCATTGACGATGTTATTGACGATGTTATTGACGCTGTCATTGCTGGTGTCATTGACATTGTTATTGATGATGTCATCGACGGTGTTATTGACGATGTTATTGACGGTGTTATTGACGGTGTTATTGACGGTGTTATTGACGTTGTCATTGACGTTGTTATTGACGGTGTCATTGACGTTGTTATTGACGGTGTTATTGACGATGTCATTGACGTTGTTATTGACGGTGTTATTGACGGTGTTATTGACGGTGTTATTGACGCTGTCATTGACGTTGTTATTGATGTTGTTATTGACGGTGTTATTGACGCTGTCATTGACGGTGTTATTGACGCTGTCATTGACGGTGTCATTGACGTTGTTATTGATGGTGTTATTGACGTTGTTATTGACGCTGCCATTGACGGTGTTTTTTGATGCTTTCATTGACGTTGTTATTGACGGTGTCATTGACGTTGTTATTGACGGTGTCATCGACGGTGTCATTGACGTTGTGTCGGTATCGCAGTCGGTATATGTCATCAGTGATTACAGCGCTTGTGCAACATGACAGACGCACATCTGACGAACCGATTCGTTTGCCGACTCACTCATTCCTCTTCACGTTTTTCAAGGTCAGTAGAGAAAACTCAGTAGATACCATGAACGCTACCAAGCATCAGGCAGAGTCGCTGCCCTTGAAGAAGCCATTACAGTATCTGCTTTACTGTCGCAATAACGGCGTCTTCGTTCTGCTCTGCCTTGTACTGCTGCTTGTAGTTGGCACGCTGTCGGTAACCATAGCAACGATGCATCCACAAGACACGCGACCCGGCTGGAGGATCTTGGACGCGTTCGAATTCTCCAACGTGACGGCTGTCAACGGGACGTTGCCTCTCTGTCCAGTACAGCCCCCCAATCTTGGTTAGTGAATGCGGCGTGTGGGTTAAAGCAGTGCAACGACCCGTTCTCGTCTGTCCTGTGTTGCAGTTTCTGAAATGATTGAAAAAAAAATTCGATAAAAATTGACCTGTGCTGCAGTTTCTGAAACGATTGATAAAATAATTCGATAAAAATTGTGCTGTGCTGCAGTTTATTAAATTATTGATAAAATAATTTGATGAAAATTGACCTGTGCTGCCGTTTCTACGATGATTGATACGATAATATTAATAAAATAATTTGATCTGAGATCGAATGTCGTCTGTCATCATGCCATAGTTAATATCAGCAATCAATTGAGTTTATTGTATTGTTCACTACCTCTACCGTCGGGCAGTATGGGCTTGGTGCCACATGCGTCGTTATATTGTGTAAGGATCTTACACGATATTTTAACATTTCCGCATTTGTCGATAACAGTAGGGCCGATCGAGGTTAAAACGCTGCCACCTAGCTGGAAAGAGCTCGAGAAACGCTACCAAAATCTCGAGCCTGGTGGTAGATGGCGCCCCAGCGATTGCACGTCGCGCCACCGTGTGGCCATCATCGTACCTTACCGAGATCGCGAATCGCATCTGCGCGTGTTCCTGAACAACCTGCACGCTATGCTGCAAAAACAGCAGTTGGACTACTGCATCTACGTCATAGAGCAGGCAAGTGGGAGCGCTGCGCATGCGCGGTGCGCGATGTCTCTGGACGATCTGCAGCCGAATATCCGCGCGAAGCGCGAACAGCGCCGCGGAGCGGCCCATTTGATCGAAATCGCTGCCCTGTTGAAAAAAGATTTCCGACAGTGCCCTATGGGTAAAGGATAAAGCGGTGTAATCGGTCAATTGAGCAGTTGTGGGCATTCCAGAAGCTTTTCGAGTATGCACGTAGGGGGAGCATAAATACAAATGCTCGTTATTGTTGGTTTGCGGCTCGGCGCGCGTCTTTTATGCCCTGAGATTATTTTCGAAGTTATCGCGTCCCATAGATGGCGCAACGAGTCCATCTACGTACCATTTTCAAGTATTTAAAAAAAAAAACGCTCGGCTCGATGACCTAGACTGCCGCGCGGTGCACAGTTCGACACGCTAGCGTAACTCACTTCAGTATAGCCAACGATAGTTGGCTGAGTGAAGGTCGGTAGCAGTCTAGCCCTGCAATCGTCACTGCCGCTTCGACTTCCCGTATCCATCTTAACGCACCTATGTGATGTTCTCATGTTTGCCATTATGATTATCACGTGATAGTTAGAGGATATATCGTGGCGTCAGCGCGTGGCGTGGCGTCGTTGCGAGAATTTCGTCAGTCTTTGTGTGATTTCGCGTGACACAGCTCGGTTACGAACAGAGACATTATGTTTTCATAAGGTCAACACTGTTCTTCAAATAGAAACAAAGATCGAAGCTGTTGGATGAGTATTTGTTTTGAAATCGTTTTGAGATCATCCAACAGCTTCGATCTTTGTTTCAATATTTGTTTTGAAATCGTTTTGAGAGCGTACGTACAGCATTTTTGCATATATTACATCGTCCCAGCGTGCTGCTTATAGCAAAAACTTCGTCTACCCCTGCGGTCGAGGGGTGCCCTGATTGCTCTTGTGCAGAAAAACTTCGCCGAAAAACTTGGAACTCGCCTGCTCGCAGTTACCTTGACGGTGCAACCCCTATATATACGCATATATAGCACCGACTCCTACGGCTATCAACAACGCCTACGATATATTCAACATACTAGGCTACCTCTATGTGATTATTATGTAATTATTACGTCGTCATTGTTTGTATATAGGTGAACATTTCGGCCCAAGGATAGAGAACATGGGTCCCAATAAAACCAATGTGCCTAACCCTAACCCTAACCCTAACCCTAATTCTAACCCTAACCCTAATCTTAACCCTAACCCTAACCCTAACCCTAACCCTAACCCTAACCTATTATATTGATAATAATGATATAATATTATTTTTATATTGATGTAAATGACATTGCCATTGG